CTCCCATGGGTTTGAGGTTCAGACCCACAAGCAACATTCGCTGCGGAATGCATTGCTCGCCTAATCTGATCCCACTGCTCATCTACATCACCACGTTGAGGCGCACTTAGATCACGCACTAGCTCTGATTCATAGCGCACACGAACGGCTGGAACAGGTAGTCGATGGTGAGCTATCCGAGTTTTCTGAATTCATCGCCGGTCAGTCAGTCGTAGAGTGAACTGCATCAAAAATAATGCGTGGTCAGACTCAACGCAGGTGGTCCAGTAGGACCTATAGTTTTGCACTGAGCCACGCCAACGGTAACTTACTGCCATGTGGTCGATTTGAGTTAGCGTACAAGTTGAACTGAAGCGCCACGTTACCGTCCGTCGAGAGCTGTGTCGGAAGTTGGTGCTTAATAGGAACAGAAGAAGAACTGAGGAAGTCGATCGACATTATCTGTTCGGTGGCTGGGCAGAGCATAACCACCGCCTAGGCGTGCTTTTGATGCGCTCAGTTTTCCAGCCTGCGCGTTGAAGTCACCTGCAAGTACAACTATGTCGGAGCTTCAACTCATGTAAATGAGATCGGTGAGTTCGTCATAGAAGGCGTCCTTTTGGCTAATGAGAACTGCAATTAGTCGGTGCATATGCTGATACGATGAACAAGCAACTTTCGGTGTTGCTTCCCTTTCGGACGCTGATTGAACCCTGGAGACGCACTGCACGTAAACGACTGTTGACGGGAAACCAATCGATAAGAAAGGACTCCGCCCTGTTGCTGAGTACAATACCTACCCCGCGCTGACCCACTGAGCGGGCTTCGTCGTCGCCTGATGTGCGAAGAACCCCTTAGTCACGAAGACCTGTTGTTGAGTAATGGTAACCGACAACTGACCCCCGAGACTTGGAGTGACGAACCACACCAGACCCTGCTAGATCAGGTGTGGTGTAGAACCGGATAACAGCAAAGCTGTCTACCACCAAAGTTGGGTCACAGTGGCGGGGCTCGGACCGCAAGGTCCAAAGCACGAGAGTGACAGCGACCAAATCACTACACCCTCACCATGGTGAAATCGGATAGATGGGATGGCCAGAGGTGGTTCCGGATGCATAGCTTGTCTAGATTCGCTTTCTAGGCATCGCACAATGAATTATCATCTATTACATGTTGTAGTTCTGCGACCTCTCTTCCCTCAAGTCTATCTTTTATTCTACTTTTCCCTCTCTCCTTACCGCTTTCCCGAATACCTCCATGGTATGCATACCACTTATCGTCTTGTTCCACTCTTGCAGATTGCCACCGGAGCCTTATACCATTCCATCGAACCAGTTGAATGCACCATGCGCCGCTCCACCAGAGCATGTGCGCCGAGTTCGTCGAACGGCTGCTCACTCGAAACTTGTGGTGGATCAGGAATTGCGCTTGACTGTGAACCAGCTGCGTTGGAATATGGAACACAGCGAGGACACCATGGTACCATTGGAATCTCTGTTGGCTGAACCTGCTAGTCGGACGAAAACGCGTTACTTGCTTTCACGTTGTGTTCCCCGGTTGTTAGCCCTGCCGGCGAATTTGGAGACCGCATTAAGTATAAGGTTGTGTGAGGTTAGTTTGCGTTTTTATACCAATGGAAACAGTTGGTAAAATACTATCTTTACTTCTTTGTACACTATCAAAAATACTACTGTGTAGGCAATTGTTAGGAGATGGTTTGCGGATGATCGAAGGCTATATAATGAATTCATTTGGATTAAATCTTCTTCAACAGTAGCCTATAGATAATGTATGTTCCTTGTAGGTTCACTATATAGAAAATGATGAAACTGGACATGCAAAGTTATGCGCAGTCGAGTATAGGCTAATTAACAGAGGGAAACCTTGACAATGGGGTCGTGAATGTGTAATGCCGGCGTACAAAGATGTCTTTAACTGTTTGGTAGACATACCAAACAAGTACATGGATCCTTTATCATTCGAAACAAAATACCCCCACTGGTGTTCGTTTAATCGTCCCCTTTTTACAGCACCTGTTCGATCAAATGGAAAACCGAAAGACAGCAACCAAAACCATAAGTAAAACGGTAATAGTCGTTCAGGCTAAACTAATCTGTACGCCGATCTTTTGTCCACCAAGTGCTGTTATGATGGAAGGGAGCCGATATCCATTTTCTATTCGTTCATCACATTTTTTATTGTCATATTTTACATCAAATCGTATTACTGTATCCACCTTTGTTCCTGCACTGTTCTTAAAGCTTTGGTGTCGACATCGTCGTATGGGTGAGGATGCGTGCGGGTTGGAGGCAGACGCCCTCATTACTAATGATAAGGAAAACTTGGCCCAACCTCAGTCGGATACGCGCATCACAGAGGAGACGATGGAGGCCTCGATTGAATTGCAAAGGGCCGGTCAAACAACCATTTCATTGCCGCACTCGGTTTCGTTGTTGGGCGCCAGTGACATGGTGATGGATCTTACTGTGAATCAGGTGAATACTTGGTGCTTATAAATGTGTCACATGTTCATTTTTCATCATCTCTTTATTTAAAGCCGCCGTGTTATCACTCATTGCGTCATGTCGCTCATGCTTCCCTTTTACATTCCTGTCACTCTGTTTATCTTTTTAGGCTGCTAATGTGGCGGATTCGAATGTATCTCTCACTACCCCACTTCCGGACCGCCCGGCATTGCCCGAAGAACCGAGTGCACGTCAAGATGGGCTAGTAGATGCACCCACCGGGACAACGGGCGTAGAACAAACAGGGCCAAATCTCACGGAAACTATACCAACTCAGGTCGATCTGACCGTGCTTGGCCCACTTCCTGAAGAAAAAGATGAAAATCTTCTAGTCAGTCGAGGTAAGTTCATATGCACCTGTTCCAGTCAGAATGTTAGCCGTCTCCGTCCTGTCATTTGTGGTCACTATAGAGTACTAAGTTGATTATGGTGTGAAATTTTTCGTAAATTATATTTGGTGCTGGGCAACCCGACGTCAAGTTAACTCACCACTTCCAGATGATTTCACCAGTGTTCTTCCTAACATCTATGTACTGGGTGTCATGTTCAGTAGATGATAATGGTGACGTAACAGCGATATTACATTTGATGAATTGGAAAGAACGAACAAACAAGGGTGACAGGTCTGGTCATTGATTTTTCTTCGTTCGAATTTTAACTCATGGATAGTTCAGCCTTTGTTTCGAGGCGTAGGACAATTGAGGAATCGGCCCCGTTGTACATATACAAAGGTCGCTCCATTTTCAACCTCAACTGAGATGAATTCGTTGACCAATGTATATGCTGTCTAAAAGTAATGGGATCCATATCGAAGCGAGCGATTATGTTACCTTCACGGAGACATTTTTATTTCTTCTAGGGGACTCACTTCTACGCGCGCAGTTAGTGGATTTCTTCAAACAATCAATGGAAGATTCTTGGAAACACAATACAAACTCTTTGAGAATGCATCTCTAACCCTTGCACAACCAAGTGCTACTCATAGTGAAAGTTTTATTTAACAACGGGACAGGTTTGCACGCGTCCCTATACTTTCTAGGAATGTATGACTTTTTACGGAGAGTTCGTTTGCCAGCCGAAAACCCGCAACGTCCTCGGTAACGTTGACGACCGGTCATAACTGCTTATTCAGTAGGGCAATACCCACTCATTCAGAGTGGACGTTGTTATATTCGCGACTTAGAGACGCGCTCGGTGACGTACAACAACTCCACTGACATGTAGCCTCCTGCGGTCTCTGGATGAAGATACACCGCCTAACTCAGACCGCCGTGTGATCGTCCCGTGTATTACTCATATAGTTGCATTGTTATTGAATTATGCTAAAATGCGCTTCATTCCATTATGGAACTTCTTTCTCTACAGAACCTATAAATAGTGCATTCGTCACGGATGCAGGTGCGGTAAACTATCTAAATTCGGACGAGGTATGGAGGTGAGTTTTTCATAATTGAAATTGAATAAATTCCAATGCGCACATTTTCCAGAGCGATAAAATCCCATCTTGATGCCGAGTCCGGTGATTTGACTCTGGAACAGCTGTGTCCTCGAAACTCCAGTCGCCGTGTGGCGGCACTGACTTTCGCTACAGTTCTTCGTAAGTCCACCCCCATATTGACATTCTTTTGAATTAATTGTAAACGTTCATCTAAGGGGGATTTTGTATAATTCTTTCACATATCCTTTTCTATCTCTCACTGTATCCGTGTAGAATTGGCTAAAAAACGACGTATCAATGTATCCCAGTCCGAGCCGTACGCACCTATCCACATTGCACTGGCAACGTGACACAATTCCACTTCCGCCCATATCGGTCGTTTGTTCCTTGCCTACATTTCTATGCATGTTGGCACCATGTCATGCATAGAATGATTCGCTCCATGCAACCAAACAAACATGGTTTCTTATTTGTTTTAATATTTTACTTCAATTCGTTTTACGGCAATTATTTTATACCGAGAAACCCACATTTGAATGCATTACGTGTTTTACGAAATCGGTTCCAACAATCATATATTTTGTCACTGTTGAACGCGTTGGTTTTTACATTAATAAAATCATGCTGTACTCCATCCTGGCAGATTCTTTATCTAAGTATGGTTAACCGCTCAGAAATCAATTCTGCCACCTCTCTCAGGACAAGTGTTTCTCTGAGTAGTTTTCGTGAGTACGTCACTGCGTTTAACTGTTTCCATCGCTGCAGGGTTCTGCTATGTTCCAGCCGTACTTCACTTTTCCACGAAAGCACCGGGTATGGTCGTTTCCCGGTAGTCTGCTATGCGGACCCAATAATTGTTCTCACCATGAATCATTTGCCAACATCCTCATTGAAAGAATCGTTTCCCCTCACGCTAGATATCCGTACAGTTCTAGGTTTCACTTCTCTGTTGTCTAAGTCGTTTTACTGAAAGATAGTTCTGTTGTCGGTTGATCGAATACCTGATATGAGGTCAAAAATATAAATTAATTAATAAACTGTAGCTCAGAGTTTGAGGTCCCGACCCGAATGTTCGCGGTTCGAGTTCTGACAGGAACACAAAGAGTACGCACCGCTGACGAGTCCCAAACAGGACGAAACAACTGTCCAGTGCTCTTTGTCAGTCATCACAAACATTTTCATCGCATTTGAATGCATTTACCCCGAGGAATTAACGATCCCAATGAGTGAAACCCACACCCAAGGCCTGGTGCCTCTGAGCAATCGGCTAATCCAAACTTGATACCCTAAGATGAAACTTAAAATGTTCAAATCTTCGGGCGCATACCATTTATTGGAACCGAAGCAATGTGTTTCCCGTTCTCAAAGGCAATAATACGACTCGAATCGTTAGAAACGCCACGATGTATACATAAAGATGTTTTAATCGATTTCTGGGATCGTACAATGTATCTAGCCCGAATCCGTGCCCGAGGTGTAAATAAACACCATTCACAATGTTCCTGATCTGGGAGTCCTTTCAATGAAAATATCGAACTGCTCCATAAGGTTGAAATGTATTTATGAGATAAACGTAATTGGTTCATTAAGTTATATGGGGAAGAACGTTAATACCTGTCAGGTTCTATGGGGGCACATGAAGAATAGGGAAGAGTGACGGAGGTCAATTCTGGAGATTTCTAATGACCTTTTCCACGTCCAACGTGCCGCGCTATGTTAGGATGTGATTGAAATCATGGTTCGATTCTTCACGTAAGTTGAAGCGGAGCCAAGGCAACTGGAGGACGGAAACCCTTTTCCTCTGTTTGCACAGGGATCGGTTCAGGATTTCGATTGCTACAGCTTTTACCCGTGCCAAGTGACGTTACCGGACAGAATTCGGCTTGTCTTGAGGCACTGTAGATGGCTCTAAAAGCATCGTTATTTGCCTGGTGCCCGATACTTGCCAGGTGGACCACAATCGCACCAGTTATTGTTTTCGTCCCGTGCTCTACCAGGCCGATTTATGTTCTCTGATCCTTTGTGAAGGTCATCTCATCGTTCGTTCTACATAACTTGTTGAACATAAGCAAGTGAGAGAATATGTAATCATGAATGAGGAGACAGTGGACACCGTATTCTTGCGGTTTTTTGCAGAACTGCGGCCCGCTTGTTAACATCTCACGTAGAGTGGGGGATGGGTACGTTCGTGTGATGGCATTTTCCATTTTGTTCTCAGCAAATCTACTCAAATCTCCTTTGAACAGGAATTGCAAGAACAGTTCTTTATTTTTAGTAGTGATTATTTTGGTATGGTGGGTTTTTCTATGATGTTCTCGATTAACCGCTCTGGACAGCCATTATTTCCTCGATGGAGTTTAAATATTTCCTTATCACTGGACAACTGTCTTCTCGCTCACAAGAAGGTCTTCATCTACCAGTTTTCAATTAGAGCGGTCAATAGTAATCGTGGCCAAGTTCACAGTGGATTTTTGACTGAGGCCGGATTGAAAATGCTAAGAAATCGGCTTGACAATAAGCTTTCTGCATCATTTCGTTACAAATACCACTGCCTTTAGAAAAAGAATATGAGTGAGAGACTACGCCGAAACCGAAACGACAGGAGTTCGGCTCATTCTCTGCAACGCAGGATAAAGGGTTTACGTGATCAAACTGATAAATTCAGTGAGAACTAAAGGCGGTTGATAGAGAGCAGTTTTTTCAGTGTTGTATTTCTTGTAACTTTCGAGTGCAATTGAATAACTGAAGTAAACCGGAAGTACCCTATTTCTCGGATGTGGATAATTGAAAACCCATGGAATTCATCGTCTTTAGTGACCCAGAGGAATATTCCGGAGTCGAATTACGGTGAAAAAGAGCCCCAGAGTCCCCATCATGTCAAGCGGCATAACAGTGCGTGAGAAAATGTTCTGGTTTTCAAGCAAAGTATAAAGTTATGGGCAGGATATTTTTAAAATAGATTTCGGGTGATTGATGATAACGAAGGATTTAAAACTGCCATATCTTCTTTGTCTCGGTTAGAATATACATATATATCGCGGCAAGACAACCATGGGCTGGAAAAAATAACGGGAAGAGAATAGAATTAAATCTTTTCAGGGCGGGGAAATAGCAAAACATTTCTTCCCTCACTGCACGTAATTTTGGATTTTTTGTTTTGCTTGGGGAACAAATGCAAAAGATTTTAATTCTTTTATTACGCACCTTAGCGTTGTGAAAAGCAGACGGGTTAAACCCTGGAATCATGAGGACCTGATGTTCGGTCATCGAAACCGGTTACCTAAGTACACCAACAGTTTTCTTCCAACCTTGCCGCGGCAGTTTGAACTCTGAAGGACCATTTACACCCACTATGCTGATCAACATCAATTGTCAATCGATTTGGATCGTTTTACCTCATTCACCTATTTCGAACAAACAAGAGCATCTAGTCGGCGTACTCCAAACCTACGAATCTGTCTCTATGGCAGAGCTCAACGCCAGAGTTCATTACTTTAAGTAACGCTCTTTGCAGAACACCATCTTTGGTGAAGTTAAAGAGAAATCGGGAGGTAGGGTGACGGTGTTCTATCCCACTGTTTTCAGGACACTATGGTGAAAGTTTACCACAAATCGTAATCTTGCCCCTCTTCTGACGGTTGAGTGCCTTTAGGAATAAGAAATAATTCTCAGCTACTGCTTATCGATTCAAGGTAGGGTGATCGCTGGAGCCGTAAACCTATATGTTCAGAAACATAGCAATTGTTTGTTGTCTGTACACGTGACGATGTTCCAACAGTTGGCAAAGGTGATCTACAAAATGGAGCTCGTTAGAGGTTGGTGATGTGCGAATATGAACTAAAGTCGGAGAGTCCCATGTCTCAAGATCGTTTATGGACTGAATAGTTGAATAAATGAAGAACGAGGATGGATTAAAACCTTACTTGGTTGATTTACGAACAAACCGTAATGGTATTTTCGGGGCCAGGAGTAGTAGTTCGTTTATTGGAAGAAATAAAGGGGAATAAATAATATGTACAAAGTAGGATCACTGGTTTTCCGGGTTTCTACCAATCGCGTTTCAGTATTACTTGCGTCGTTCTGCTTCTCTCTGGGCCACATGATCTCTGATTGGCTGCTACGATCTACCTATGGTATGTAGTCAGAAGCAGTGACACTTACGCGCGTTGTTGACGTCACCCGTGAAGTTTGATCGCGTTTGTCCAAAAGCCGTAACGCGTCGCTCCATGGTACGCGTCATCTCCTAGGCCCGGATCACCACAACGAGCTAACATCAACAGAACGAAGCGTCCCTGCTCATTCGTCGCAGCCGCTAGAAGGCTCCGATGAAATACCTAAATGAAGTAGAAATGCACCTAGTCGGCCCAAGTGCAATCTCATCCAACGGAACGGACAACAGAGCATACCTACCTCAACTTTCAGCAGACCAAGTTTTTGTTTCTATCGGTCACTAACGTCACACACACAAAAAAGAAATATCACTTTCCATAGCAACCTCCACGCCCAAACGAAAGACGGAACTGAATCACATTTATATGAACAGTTTGACCGAATGGCGATANTGGCGATAACGTGGAAATCAAGGCGTTCTGAAACCTGGTCCATGTTGCGTCTGTCACCAAGTTCTTCGACGCAAACGTCCCTTCCGTAGGCCCGAAATTTATATTTTCTCCGATCTAAAAGCGGCACCTGGCTCAGTTAGCTGCACTATTCTCCGGCGCTGTCGCTCCACGAAGTACGTATGTATGTAAGTCTATTTCAATTATTCGGTCCCATAATGTGAATTACCGAAGCCGGGTTCTTTTTCGCCCAAATTCTGCGCACAAAGTGGTGTTGATCATGGTTGCTTTTTTGTGTGAAGGAAAAGTTTTTCCTGTGCTTTGGGTGTTGTTGCAACCATGTTCGGCAAGCGTTTGCGCCTGCAATTTGTAGAATGTAAGAGAGGTTGAGGTTGATCCACAGGGCCTTATGAGTCCATATATATTTAACACTGGCTTGAGATCAAGCTTGGTGCCAACGCCATAACAATATTACTGATAGCAATAATAACGAACGGGGGTGGGGTGGGGTATAGAGTATAGGGAAAGAATGTAACTGTCAGAATAGGAGCTTACGAATAAATGGAATAGCAATTTTTTGGGTGTTTCACCGTACACTTTTTGAATTTTTTTTGTTTTTACGGGGCACGGGAGTACGATAAACAGACCGTACAGCATTTGCGCCATTGACTTCTACTCTGGGCCATATCTCTCAGTGTCTCTAACCAACGACAATCCTCATCCCTTGGGCCCCAACCTGGAAGGCGGGCTGCACCAACCAAAGCCAAAGCTGAAGCCAGCTTCTTCATGCC